AATTAAAACAGCAGGGTTTCCGTCCTGCTGCTAGGTAGGGTTCATTACTCTTTACTTTGTATTTGTTTGAGATTTTCCATACTTTATTTTTAAGTAAGCAGAAAACCTATCTAAAGTAACTCATGAATTTCTTGCCTTTTTTCTATTTCTTCCTTACAAAGTAGCTTTTTATGTTCCTAAAAGGAACATGGAGGCCACATACTGAGTAGACCTGGGCGGAAGCTCCCGGCTGCACAGCGCCAAGCGGGTGGGGGACGAAGGCATGCTCTCTGATCCAAAAGGTGGCCACATTGGCATCTTGCTTCCAGAGTCGAGGGTCGAAGTGAGATTAAATGGCATTGACACACAAGTCACCTGGTGCTGTTCCTGGCACCAGATGTCGGTGAGTCCCTGCCATGAGCTTCACTATTTTCGCTAGTATCATCTCTCTTCAATTTCCAAAATCATCTCCAAGCCCTTGGACCCTGCCTTACCTGCCAAGGAAGAGCTGGTTCATATGGCAAGCCTCGGGGCTGTTGCCTGCAGGCACCATGAGTGTGCCCCTGCATTATTTCACTAGACCCCACAACAACCTTAGGAGGTGGATGCCGTGTTGTCCCTCCTGTGTAAGGAAGGAAATGAGGGCACAGAAAAATGAAGAGCTGTGCAAGGTCACAAAACTAAAAGCCTACAAGCAGAGGGGCTTCTGGTTCTGCTTTTAAGTGGGAGCCTCTGCTGGCCAGGCTTAGCTCACTACTGAGCCTTCTGCTTCAGAGCATGGGGAGAGACCCCAACAAGACCATGAGTAAGGGTCTTTTTTTTTTTTAATTTTTTTTAATATTTATTTCTTAGTTTTCGGCGGACACAACATCTTTGTTTGTATGTGGTGCTGAGGATCGAACCTGGACCGCACGCATGCCAGGTGAGCGTGCTACCGCTTGAGCCACATCCCCAGCCCAAGTAAGGGTCTTAAAAATATTTCTACAGGCAAAATACAGAGTAAAATCATTGCCAAAGGCAGCCTCTACTTAACTGGATACTTTTAGGGATTACAGGTGGGAGAAAATAGTGAAGACAACAAAGAGAAATGAGGAGGACTTGGTCTTCCTGCAGGCTAGAGCCCAGGAGCTAACCTCACCTCCGAGGAACATGGAGAAACAGTCTCCAGAGTTGCCAGGCCCTGCCCCAGACAGTACCAAGGTGTTCTTTGGTTGTCTTACTTTACTTGAACTTCATATTAGCAAAGATATTTGCAAAAGCCATCAATTTCTTTTTTTTAATATTTATTTTTTAGTTTTTTAGGTGGACACAATGTCTTTATTTTATTTTTACGTGGTGCTGAGAATCGAACCCAGTGCCTCACGCATGCCAGGTGAGCACACTACCACTTAAGCCACATCCCCAGCCCCAAAAGCCATCAATTTCAATTCCAACTCAAGTAGGAGGAAAGGAGTGTAAGTAAGGTTGGAGGGGTCAGGAGGCAGAGGTTTTGAATGCCAACATCATCCTGCATGAGTGACATGGTGTGATCTTCTTCTGCCAATGCTTCACCTTTCCCAAACCACCCAAGCAACTGTGCAAGATGACTTTGAGGACTCATTTAGACAATGAGAAGTAGAACAGAAACGGATGGCTAAGGGTACCCAAAATCAACTTTGAAATTGTTCTTTAAGTAAACAAGACAATTTATTTGATAATGATGACAGAATACTACAGAAAGATACTCCCATGTAAAAGCCAGAAGTATTATTTTCATGTCTGAAAACAAAAACAAGGGCTAGAATGTATGGCTTAGGGGTATGGCTTAGGGGTATGTTGCTTGCCTAGCAGGCAGGAAACCCTGGGTTCCACCCCCAGCACCACAAAAAACAAAGAAACAGCATTATACTTGGACCAGTATCAGTTACACTGGAACATCCAACAAACTACAAATTATTAGCAATCTCATCCTTAGAGATGAGACCAAAAGCAGAAGAAACTAACAATTCTTTTTCCCATATAAATCAGAATTAACAGCAACATTTTTAAGAAGAGAAGTTCATGATCAATGAGTAGTACCAGATCTCCTATAGTTGTCTTGTTTGTTGTTTTGCTATTTTGTGGTACTGGGGGTCTTTCCCATTGAGCTGCATCCCCAGTCCTTTTTTTTTTTTTTTGGATACTTATTTTTTAGTTTTAGGTGGACAAAATAGCTTTATTTTACATTTATGTGGTGCAGAGGATCGAACCCTTTCGGTGGACACAACATCTTTATTTTATTTTTATGTGGTGCTGAGGATCGAACCCAGCGCCCCGCGCATGCCAGGCGAGTGCGTTACTGCTTGAGCCACATCCCCAGCCCCGCCCCCAGTCCTTTAAATCTTTTATTTTGAAATAGGGTCTTGCTACTTGTCCAGGCTGGTCTCCGAACTTGCAATCCTCCTGCCTCTGCCTCCTGAGTAACTGGTATAACTGGTGTGCACCACTGGGCCTGGCTTCTGTATGTATTTATTTATTTATGTTTTTGTCTGCTTGTTCTGTCTTATTTTTTACCTTTTACGTTGAAATTATTTTAGACTTTCAGAAGAGGTGTAAAGATAATATGGAGTCTACCCAATTTGTATAACATTTATCAGAACTAAAAAACTGACACTAGTACAACTATTACTTAAACTTGAGGTCTCCCATGTTTTTCCACCAATGTCTTTTCTCTTCCAGGATCTAGGATGCCACCTGCAGTTAAGGTATCACATCCCCTGAGTCACCTCCAATCTGCAATAGTTCCTCAGTCTTTGTTTTTCACTGCCATGACAGCCTTGGGCTAGGAAGGTGTTTTGCGGAATGTCCCCAATCTGGACTCCCCTGCTGTGCTCTCAGGGTTACACTGGGATTATGGCTTTGGGGAGCGAGCCCCGAGGTGGCACAGCCTGTCCATCCTGGTCCACTGTGTCCCTGTCTCACCACTGATGGTGACCTGGATCATTTAGCCACCGTGGGACCTGCCAGGTTTCTAACTGTAATGCCATTGTTTGTCCCTTCTATTCTTTAGAAGCAAATCACTAAGTCCAATCAACACTCAAGAGGAAGGAAGGAAGCCCTACTTCCTGGAGGAAGGGATACCAGACAATACGAGGATCTGTCAGAACTTCCACAGTAATTAATCAACACTAGCTAGTATTTATTATTGATGGCAATCAGAGTAGTTACAATTAATATCTGGAGGGCTGGGGTTGTGGCTCAGTGGTAGAGCGCTCACCATGTGAGGCCCTGGGTTTGATCCTCAGCACCACATAAAAATAAATAAAATGTATTAAAATATATTTTTAAAAAATTAATATTTGGAAAGTTTTTACCATAAAGAAATGACAAATGTTTGAGGAAACAGATATATTTAACCTGATTTAAACATTACATGATGTGCCAGGCGTGGTGTTATACATCTATAATCCCAGCGGCTCAGAAAGCTGAAGCAGGAGGATCACGAATTCAAAGCCTCAGCAACTTAGCGAGGCCCTGTCTCTAAATACAAAAAATGGGCTCATGATATAGCTCAATAGTTAAGTGCCCTGGGTTCAATCCCAAGTACCAAAAATAAATAAATAAATAAAAATTTTTAAAAATAATTTAAAAAATTATACAATGTATACATGTATCAAAACATTACATGACACCCCATTAATATTTATAATTTCTATGTTTTGTGAATGAGCTTAAAAATAAATCAAATTTTAAAAATAAAGTATCTAGGAGGAAATATTTTAGGGCTATATAGAAATCCTACTTCTCTTCATAGTTTCACCCATTAATTTAGCATGCATCAGCCTGTAATAATTTAATATATAACAATAAACATGTAATAATGAACACATAATTATTTCTATAGTCAGAAATAACTTTTGAGTTTCCCCCAGAAATGATTTCTGACTGCAAAAATTATTACATGTGCATTCTAATGATGGTTCCCTATTTCCCTTATCCCCCTACATGTATTAAGTGAAATTCTTCTATGAGAAAGAATCATTTCTTCATCCCATTTATTTATTTTATGGGTATGCTCTCATAGGTACTTGAATAGAGATGGGAAGGAGAGCCAGGCACAGGCATGATGGGTTGGCACCACCAGCACTGTTTGCCAACAGCCCTAGAAGCATCAGCACCCAGTACTAGGACACCCAGTGTCCAGATCTTAGTTTCTAAATACCTTCCTCCAATGAAAGGAATCAGGGCTCCTTAGAGAAATGGCAGGTTCTAGGGCTGGAGCAAGGAAAGTATAAAAGGAGCACAGAAAGCCTCGTAGCACCAAAAAATACTAAAAGAAAGAAAAGAGGATAGGTCATATCAAAAGAATGCTTCCCTTGGCCACAGCAGACCAACCGTGAGGGGATTCCTGTGTCCCAGGGTGGGATGGCTGGTAGGTTGGTTGGTTTATTTATTTATTTATTTTTGTAGTTGTGAATGGACAGCATGCCTTTTTATGTGGTGCTAAGGATCAAACCCAGTGCCTCACCCTGCTAGGCAAGTGCTCTGCCACTGAGCCACAGTCTCAGACCCATCCTAGGATTTTTAAGACATATATATAAAAAGCAAATCAGAACTCACAAAATGAAATCCAATGTCCAGTTCTCCTTGGGTTTGGACTACACAGCTTTGGGAGGTCCTAAGGCACATTAACAAATGCCTGTTGAAACTAAAACTCAGCACTGGGCCACGTGACTGAGTCTGTACATCCAAATAGCACAAAACACCAGCCACTGTGACACTTCATATTACAGACACTGAACTGAATGCCCACTGTGAGGCTTTAAGAGGGTAGAAACTTAATCTGGCTATAGTGATTAGAGGTGGGTATTCGGGAGGTGACAGGATTAGCAAAGGTCTGCTCTCAGAACTCGCCAACCTTCTTCACCAGAAACCTTCCTAAAATGAGCTACACCTGTATTCCTCTTCCCATGGGCACCTGTGTGACCAAGTGTGGTCTCCTCACAGCACTGCTGTGAGTGCAAAACTCTGGGGCTCAGCATCCACCCACTGTGTTCGCTTACCTCTTCACCAAAATGACAGCAGCACACCTGTGGTCACCTTCAAGTTCTCTCTCCCTGAAACCCACAGTGAGAACCTGAAAGGATCCAGTCCTCAGTCCTTGGTTGGGGGCGGGGGGCAAGGTGCCACCCCTGCTGCTCAAAGTCCAGTGCTGGCTGCTGGGGCGGGGGCTCACAGGGTGCCTGCGGAGGAAGCTGCTCTCCGCTCTCTCCATGCAGGGTCGTCAGCATACCGTGCATCTAATTCTCTGTCTTTGGTAGTCTGAAGGTAAAGATGGACGGAATGGGGGGTTGGGGACAGAGAGTGTGGAATATGTAGAGGAAGAAGTCCCAGGAAAGGCAAAGCAGAAGACCTTGGCAGCAGCCGAGTCTTGGAAGTGGTAGGTGAACCACCACGTGGTCTGGGCAGTAAAGAGCCAGGGTTTGGCTTTGGTGAAAAGTGGATTCGAACCCAGAGGTGCAGAGCTAGTGACAAGGTCAGGGCACCTCTCCTCCTGTGCAAAGCAAGGATAACAGCTACCTGGATGAGATGTCATGAGGATGAAGTGCTACTCTCAACCCTCTCTAGTGAGATGAACTGGCAACACTCCTCTTCTGACCTGAGAAATGACTTTTCATACTTAGAGTGTGAAATCAAGGTCTATACCCCAAAACTCTCCGGAAGGCTGTGCATCAATACGGCGAAATAATTATGCTTTCAAAATTCTTTGGCTATTTAGAGACATAAATTACTGGCCTCAGACTTTTTATTGAAAAGTTTCATGTTACAATGAAGCCAGCACTCACTTCCTCGTTCAGACAGTTTCCTAATGGCATCCATTTTTGGCTTGTTGGTGTAGTGTATGTTGAGAAGCTGGCCAACTCTGAGACCATCAGAGTCTGCTCTGAAAGAAAAAGCCAGGGTGGTCCTCCACAGGCGTGAGCACAAACCACAGTTCCCCCCCGGGACGGGCAGCTGAGATCACCCAGGAAAGAAGTTCCTCTATCCCTACCTGGAAATCATTCCTCATCATGTCCATGTGCTTCACAAGTAATTAAACTGCAAGCACCTCTAATGCACCTGGACGAAGGTCTGATTTGTAAGACCCCGACACACATACAACTCTTTGAGTGAGTCATGCCTTTACAACTTAAAATCTCACACCATTCATCACTGACATTATTGTAAGCCTGGACAAGAGGAAATGCCAGCATCATAAGCGGCTCTTCAGCCCATGACCCTCATTACCCAAGGGATCGGACTACTTATTTACAACTAAATAAACAATTTTCCCAGGACAGAGACTGCCCTAAACTCAAGGCTGCGCCAGCACTGGGTGGCAGCTGTCTCGGACACCTACCTTTCAAAGTGCTGTTTCATTTGCTTACACGCATAGTAGTTTCCATCTCTCAGGCTCTGCATCTTCATGACTTCAGAAAATGTTCCCTCTCCTATTTTGCCAATTGCTTTATAGTCTGTAAGTAATTATAAAGACAAAATTTTATTTATGCACAGATTTTTATATTCACTTCCACGCTGCACACTATCATCATGTAACTTAACAGCACCATGCTGAGGGTCAGATCCGTGGCCAGCAAGATTGTGCTGCCCTCCCAGCAGGGAAGCAGGCTGGGTGCTGGTGACATCTTGCTCTCCCTTGAACGACAGGAGCCACAGCCCCGATCCAGTGACAAGAAGCACCACTACCCCGTAAGACTCGGAAAGCAGTGAGGTGATGCCAGCTGGGGCTGTTCAGTGGAGTGGCAGGGTCACGTCACCAGCACCACTGAGCATTCTTCTGAATTTCACCCTCCCTGGTCCTAGGGAGCGCACAGCTCATCTGCAGCAGTTTTGTGTAATAAGCACAAGTCCTAATTTTCTGAAAGCTGCCAGCAGCTCCTTCTGGCTTTGATGCTACCCCCATCACCCCCCACCCTACTCATGGTTTTGTAATCCTCTGATTCACTATGCTAAACACCTTCCTGCTGGAAATACCCACAGTAGTTTCTGCTTTCCTGAACGACCTCTGACATCAAATGAGTCCCTTGAAGTGGGGTTGGCTGTGAAGACAACCTGAGCTTCTGTGGCCCTGGCTTCACAGTCAGGAGGCAGAGCACAGGTAGGAATTCTGCAGAGCTGGGAGCCCATGACGATGCCAATGATCCACCACCCGCAGCAGCCTCTGGCCCAGGGGGGTGGGAAGAATCAGAGAAGGATTCTACTGACTGCCTCCACACAGGATTCCAAGAAAAGGATGGCACAGGCAAGAACTACAACTTCTCAAGGAGAAATGGAAGGAATGAGAAAGCCCTGAGTGCAGAAGCCCCCACTGGGTTGCAAATGTTTCTACATCCCAAATAACAGGAGAACAAGACTGCAGAAAACCTTGGCAGAGAGCAGTCTGTGCACCTCTCAGAGGATCAAATAACCCAGCCTCAGGGATGGGCTGTGCTCAGGAGTAGTGGCTTGCCAGTGTGCACAAGGCCCTGGTTTCCATGCCCACTACTGCCGGGGAAAGAAAGGCTAACCAGGAGCAAAGCAGCAGGAAGACAATTACTGCGCCCACTCCCACTGTCTTTGGGCATCTGGTTCAGAGAGCTCCCAGGAAGCTCCTGTGAACTGAGACCCAGAAACACAAAAGTAAGGCCATGAAAAAATCAGGCAGGCTAGAGTCAGGTCTGGAAGAGACCCTGGAGGAGGAAGTGACCAGAAGTCAGGAGCTTCAGTTGCACTGTTGCAGAAACAAGCCTGGACTAAGAGAGCCCTTGACCTCCGGGCCCTGTCTGCACCAGGACAAAGTAGACTGTAAAGCCATGCTGCTCTAGGTGGGCACGGTGATGCATGTCTGTAACCTCGGCGCCTCAGGAGGCGGAAGCAGGAAGGTTGTTAAGGTTGAGGCCCGCCTCAGCAACTTTGTGAGACCCTGTCTCTGAATAAAACATAAAAAAAATAAAAAGGGCTCAAGATACAGCTCAAGGGGCTGGGGCTGGGGCTCAGTGGTACAGAACTCAGCTGCCACGGGTGAGGCACTGGGTTCGATCCTCAGCACCACATAAAAATAAAATAAAAAAGGATGTAGATCAGGGTAGAGCACCCTTGGGTCCAAGTCCCAGAAACACTTAAAAAAAAAAAATCTGGGCACTCCCATCCACTGCTGAAGGCATAAATCGGTATACTCATTTGGGAGGACAATTTGACAATATCTATAAATCTTTTTAAGACGTGCATATGCTAGGGCTGATTGTGGTACAGCACTTGCCGAGCACATGTGAGGCACTGGGTTCCATCCTGGGCACCATGTAAAAATAAGTAAATAAATAAAATGAAGTCATTATTTTAAAAAAAGATGTACATATCTGAACCGACAATTCTAAAACATACCATATTAAAAAATGTAGGAGGTTGTTAGTGCAGCATTATTTTTAAATTTTATGTACATATTCCTTTTTTAGTGCAGCAGTATTTAATAGGGAAAACTGAAAAACCAAAAATACCCCCACAGGGAACTAGATGACGATGACGATGATGATGATGATGATGATGATGACGACGACGACGATGACTGGTACTGGGGATTGAACCAGGGGCATTTAATCACTGAGCTATATCCCCAGCCTTTTTTGTATTTTATTTAGAGACAGGGTCTCTCTAAGTTGCCTATGGCCTCACTAAGTTGCTGAGGCTGGCTCTGAACTTGCCTCATCCTCCCCAGTCATTGGGATTATAGGAATGCACTACTGAACCCGGCTAATCATGTTGTAATCCACATAATGGAATACACTATCTATATTCAAGACTGATACAGAAAGATCCTTAAAGATTACATCCTTGGGCTGGGTATATAGCTCAGTTGGTAGAGTGCCTGCCTTGCATACACAAGGCCCTGGGTTCAATCCCCAGCATCACAATAAAAAAAAGACATCCTTGAAGACTACATACACACCTCGCATGAGCCCACATGCGGGCACATGGGGCTCTTTCTGACAGGTAAGGTTACAGGTGTCTCCTTTCCTAAGTCAGATAATTTCCAAAATGTTATTTTTTATGAGAACACTATTTCTTTTTAATTAACAAGAAGAACTAAAAAAAAAAAATAGTCCAGAAAAGAAAAGTGGTGGTAAAAGTTAAAAAATGGTGATAATTGTTGAAATGAGGTAAAGGATATGTTTTAGAGCTCTGATATTACTCTCTCTACTCTGACATGCTTAAAATTTTTTCTAATAAAAACAATACCTTCTGGGCTGGGGTTGTGGCTCAGCGGTAGAGCGCTCACCTAGCAAATGCAGGGCCCTGGGTTCGATCCTCAGCATCACATAAAAATAATGAAGAAAGACTTGGGACTTAATTCAGTTGGTAGAGTGCTTGCCTCGCAGGCACAAGGCCCTGGGTTCAATTCCCAGCACCACACACACACACACACACACACACACACACACACAATAATAATAATAATAATAATAATAATAGATTTAAAAAAGAACATAGACTCTTTTTTTGTTTTGTTTTTTGGGGTATTGGGGATTGAACTCAGAGGTAGTTTACCTCTGGGCTATATCCCCAGTCCTTTTTACTTTGAGACAGGGTCTCGCTAAGTTGCATAGAGAGCCTCACCAAGTTGGTGAGGCTGGTTTCAAACTTGTGATTCACCTACCTCAGCCTCCTAAGACAACTGGGAGTACAGTTGTATACCACCTCACCCAGCAATGATAGAAGTAAAAAAAAAAAATTATTCTATTTGTTTGTTTTTATGTGTGCTAAGGATCAAACCTAGGGCCTCACATGTGCTAGGCAAGTGCTCTACCACCAAGCTACAGCCACAGTCAAATGCAGGCTTTTGAGAAGAGTATTTGTAAGATTTCACATTTTAAAATCTGCTATTTAATAAAGTAACTTTGTGAGAATTCAACTTACCTAGATTTTTTTTTTCTGAACATGTTAGTATTTGTCTGAGATTGTATCCTCCTTGCAAGGTACTAATTAAAATGCTATTATTTCATGGGTGCTGGCAGAAGAGGCTTGTGTCTTCTTGGGTAGAAGACAAAGAACTTTATTATTCATGGTACAGAAAGGTATATGCATTAATACATTTTCAATGACTATAATCAAAAAGCTTCATCCCCATCCTAACTCCTGGAACCTGTGAATATGACCATATATATGAATAAGAATCTTGCAGAAGGATCTTGAGATGAAAACAATCTAGATTACCCATGTGGACGCTGAATGCAAGGATACACACAAAGGTGTGGTGCAAGCCTATAATCCCAGCATCTTGGGAGGCTGAAGCAGGAGGGAATTCAAAGGGCTGGTGTTCTGGGGTGGAGCACTTGCCTAGCATGCAGGATGCCCTGTGTTCAATCCCCAGTACCACAGACAAAAAAAAGACACAAAGTAGAATGGGAGTTGCCAAGAGTCGGGGGAGGGGAAATGGGTGCAGAATTTCAGTCATCAGGATGAAAACGTATGCAGAGCAGTTGTAAACCTATAAAACACAAATGCACGTGTGTGCCTGACAACGCTGTGATGCAGGAAATCCATTAAGATCTCTTGTTACATGTTTTACACGATCTGAAAAACACAGACACACACAAGAGGGACACGGTGACAGAGACAGAGCCTGGAGCGGAGCCACAGGAAGCTGGGCTCCAGGGAGACCCAACACAGGTGGGAGGGAGCTGCCCTCTGCAGACACCTTGGGCGGGAGAGGGGGGCAGTGTTCCCCAGCAGTAAGAAAACAGCTTCTGTGCTTTATACCACCCAATTGGGATAGCCTGTTGCAACAGCCTCGGAATCTAACAAGGAACACAACTGGCATTTTTTAAATCTAAAACATTTTTTTTCATTCAAGGAAAGAGTCTTTCTGAGCATACCAATTTAAGAAGTCACTCAGAAAAGACTTTTGAGCCCATCAAAGTAAAATAAAACTTTAAAATGAAGTAAAGTAAGGGGGAAAGAAAATGGTACCATAGCTCTCCAGACAGAAATGGAAGAAATAACTGGCTAACTACATTTTAACTAAATCCCAGAGCCTCTCTAAAAATGGGAAATTTTTTATTAAGTCTTAAAACCAGGCAAGAAGGATTCCAGGTAACCACCAAAAAGCTTCTTTGAAACAAAACCACCAAAAAGACCCCAGGTAGGTTTGCTTAACCCCTCTCCCTAGCCAAGGAACAGCTGCTGTGCTCAAACACGCCTAAAATGTCCTCTACTCTCGGAAGGATGAACCTGGAACGCCCAGAAATCCCTCTGCAAGACCACAGTCTATCGCAGACAGAAAAGAGGCCCCCACCGGGCAGGCCCAGGTGCTCTGCTTAGAGTCTTAAGGGCCAGTCTTGGGCAGGTGTCTATGAAACACACTTCAGGAGTCTCCACCATGCCCTCTTCCTGAACTGCTCACCCAACGGCATAACGCGTGATGTGCACCTGCTGTCTTCCAGGACCCAGAACTTCAGCAAGTGCTAGGCAGGGGGTGCCT